GTTTGACCGCAAAGATTAAATTAGTCCGAAGGGTCTCTTATTATGTAATCCGTGTCTATGGGCCCACATTTCTCACTACCATCTCATCATTCGTTGGCTTTTGGATCCCGGTGTTAGCGTGGCCAGCCAGGGTATGAGCTTTCATTTTATTAATTACATTTTAATTTGGATACAACATAATAATTAAAATAAATAATTCAATTGTGATTGATGTGCAATACAAAGGTGGCCCTATTGGTGACTCCATTGTTAACATTAGTGACCCAGAATATAAATGTGAATTCAGAGATCAACGTGTCGTATGTGGTGGCCCTCCACTGGTGGATGAGTGTGTGTATATTCTTTGTGTTCATGAGTCTAATTGAGTTTGCAGTGGCCATATCGTGGGCGTGGATGGCCAGCGATAGGAAGGCACTCAGAGCCACTCAGGTCTTCATTATTAACCCAATTGCAACTCTTTTGTAAACTATTTTGTTTATCGGTCTGTATTATAGGGGTTTACAGAAGTGCCCAAAACGGATAACTACACAAATAAGAGAGCGTTTTGTCACTGCGGAAGACTTGTTGGAAATATATTATATTATGTCTTCGGAAATATTGATTTCACAAAAGAGCCGTTGAATAGAAATAAAGTGGATTACGCCTCAAGAATTATATTTCCCGTCACTTATATTATGTTTGTTGTAATTTACATATTATGCACAATATGTCCATGGGCAGTCGCTTACAATTGGTGATCATTTTGTATTAAATTTTTGGCTTTTTATTATATTTTAGTTGATGTTTGGTTTGCTTTTATAAGTTCTTATAAAGAATTTATTTGGATTTGTATTTAGAAATAGCAAAAATGATGTTGGTTAGATTCTATTTTATTAATTTAACAATATGTAAATGTACAGTGTGTAAATAATAAATAAACATTCTAGAGTTTAAGCCAGCATTTATTTAACATTATATTCATCGTGTTATTTTTATTGAATAAAAGATCAATTAAATTATTTATTAAATATTTATCAAATTGATATTCAAAAATACAATTTAAAAATGAACTAGCTTTAAACAATTTTCTAGACTTAATATTCTATTTTGTTTAAGTAAATAAGTTTAAAATAAATGAAAATAAGTTAAAGAGGAGAATTGAAAATACTGTATAAACTTTGTTGTATAATATAATAATTAAAAATATTTTGATTAGATTTCGTACTCAAATAAACTTATTTTACATCAAATAAAATCATTCGGTAGTTATATAAAGTAGAAAATAGATATAAATGTTAACATTGAAATCACTTTATTAATAGAATAATAAATATATTAAGCAATTAAT